CTGTTCATCGTATAGGCTCCAAAAAGATGAAAGAACAGGAAAATTTAGAAACGTCATTAAAATCCTCTTTTCTGGATGAGGTTTGAAGTTAGAAAATGTAATGATTCAAACTTTAGTGTTCTGAATCAGTTTTAATGATGGAGGCGGTGAGCTGAAAAATGGAAACAGGAAGGTTCGATGGGATGATTACAGAGCTGTTCAGCTATCGACTGTTTTGACATTACATTATAGCTTTAGGCTTTCCACCCTGGGGGGTGGAGCCCTCTGGGAGGACATAAAGCCATTGTGGGGGTTGGTGTAGGGGTGTAACATGAAATCAAAGGCTTTGATGGCGTTTGAGAGAATTACCCTTGGTTATGGACATTTTTCACTGAACCTAATCATTCGGTGACTAAATGTGAGGTGAAGGAACTTTTATTAGCTTCAGAAAAAGCTTGAGATCACAGCATCAGCGTGCGTCACTCTCAGTTAAGGTAGTTTGACTTCCTGCTGCTCTGGACGCTTTCCCAGAATCCTAAAATTGTCCTCTAAGCAAATCTTCCCTCTGCTCCAACATGAAAGATTTTAATCTGCTTCTACAGTTATGAAAAGCTTGTTTTGACTATGAAACAGAGACACAGCTTTGAGAACAGGTAACACCACTGTTTTACTATTATTACTACTTTTTAATGAATGTGTTCTTTTAACCAGCGGAGTTCCCCTGGGCTCTGTTGTTGGTCCTCAGCCATTCTGGTTTAACCTCTTTCACTGTAATATAAACCATCCACAAATCATGTAAAATTATAGTCTTGCTAAATAACAGAGCTGAAAGCGTTAAATATCTGCCTGTCACAGCACGTCGGACAGGGTGAGGTTACAAACAAAACTTCATCTGATGAAGATTTCTTAAATCCTGACGGTTTTCCACGAAGTATTCCATATAGAGAAAAACTAAGGGGTTTTTTTTCTACACTTATTTTTAATGTTTTTTAATGTAATGATGGGTGTTGTGGGGCACATGTCACAAAGGTTAAAGGGGAACTTCATATTTGTATCAGTAACATTTTAAGCAAATGATCTTATATATTCTCTAAAGTTTTTATTTTGTGGGCAAACTGAAGACACTGAGATCATATCTCTTTAAAACATATTTTTAGCTTTGCTCTCAGCTGTTGTTCTGCCTGTTTATTTACCATCTGTGAATAAATGTGCAGATGCTGTGGTTTACTCCAGGCTCCTCAGAGATAGGTTCTTCTGCATCACAACATGAAATATTTTCCTTCAGCTTTTCAAATTATGCTTTAATAATTATATTAATTCAAATGTAATAGTTTTACAATATTATTATGTATACATTATATCGGTTATGGTAACAGCAAATACTAATGTGAACGCTTTATTGGTGTCTGATTCTTATGAATGTTGGGACTCAGATGGGTGTTCACTGTTAGTGTGTTTACAATCCTAAACCCTCCTCTACCTGGTCAGGTTATTTTTTACACTGAAAAATGCAAACACTTTTAACTTTGAGAGAACAAAATTCCTATTTTTGTGATTTTAAATACATTATTAATATTACTTTCTTTAAAAACTTCACGTGCTTCTCTTTCTGGACATACCATTTGTGCACTCATTTAAATGTTACAGCTGATATTGTTAGAAAGGTCAAACCTAACATGTGGCTGGCATTTTATTTTGAAAATCCTGGCGGCACTCTCACAGGTCTCATATGCCCGTCTTTATTGTGAGTGTGAGGGCTAAACCTCCAAAGGGCCAATCAACAGATTAACAAACCGGCACTTAACATGTAAATCCTCAGTCAGAAATTAAATCCAGCGCCTTTAAAGGGATTTATGGACGGAAGAAAGGCGCCGAGAGGGAGAGGTGGAGGCAGGAGAAAGAGGTGGAGAGGGGGAGGTTTGGTGTGTGCGCGGGGTTAAAATAAGAACAACAGAACAAAGACAAGAGGAGAGAAAAGACAGGGAGCAGATGGAGCACAATATGTGGACACACCCACAGTAAAAAAAGCTTCTGCGGCACCAGAGTCCAGAGGAAAGACGTCTAATTTAACCACTTTAGCTAATTTCACTGTTTTTATGTGAGAAACTCCTGATTTCATGTGACCCTCTATGCTGAGAGGTGGAGCGCGAGAAGCCGGCACAGAGAGCGAAGCTCAACCGGGTGAAGCAAAGCTGGATGATCCTTCAAAGGGTTAAACAGTAAAGTCCCAGAGAGGCTTCAAACAGCCTTCAGAGTCTGAACACACACACACACACACACACACACACACTATTGTTTTCTAACTGGTAATTTTCTGGTTTGGCAGGAAACAATGATCCTGCTTCCAGCACACACACAAACACACTCAGCTGCTGATTAACCTGCCGTTAAAGAGCGAGTGTGTGTGAATCTGTTATTTATTTATCCTCAAGTCTTCCTGAGTGTCTGTTTGTGTAAACTTCAGTCGACTGCACACACGCTCACGAGGCTGCTGAGGTTTAATACGGTCGTGAGTTCCTCTAATGTCCGCTCGAGACTAAAGCGCCGACTCCATCCTCGGACTAAAACGTCCATGTTTACAGCACAAATGAATACAATCAGTCTGAGACAAAAACACTGAGAAACAGAAGTGTAGTGGTTTATTGAGGCAGAGATGCAGATTAATGACAGAGGCAGGAGGTGTTGAGAAACATGAGGACGTGTGTATAAGAACCTCAGAAGCCGTCACTCAAAGCATTTTAGGCCTAGTTCAGAGTTTCTGTGGAGACAGGTGTTGTTTTACAGGTGGTGGAGTTCCACAGGGCTTCATTATCGGTCCTCTACTTTTTATTCACATGTAATTATGCTCGTTTCTAACAGCACAACTGTGAAGGAGGATGAATGCCTTAATAACTCTGCTGTTTAAACTGTAACAAGGCTTAAAGTTTGCATTATTAGGGTTGTAGCTAAGTTTTTGCTGTTGGAGCCTTTTTAATGGCACTACCTGACCAATGACATGGCTGCCAGAAGTCTCGGCTCCGGTTTTAATGAGTGAAATGTTACCGAGCACTAACGAGCAGGTATCTGTAGATCAATAACCCTGCAGCTAAACCATTTATCAGCTATCAAACAGTTTGTTGTTTCAGCTCTCAGACCCTCGGCCCCTGCGTCTCTACTTCCTGTCCTCTTCCTGTTGGGGAGGGGGGTCACGTGACAGTCAGCTGCTCCTTTGTGTTGACAAACGGCATGATAGATAAGGTATTGGTAACCAGTCACATGCTGATCTGAAGCAGCTGCAGCACCGTTGGTTTCCTGCCTGCTGGTTTTAAACTGGCTCCCCTCAGCGGGTATCAGCACGCATGTTTAACAGTTTTAAAGCTGGTTTAGGTTTTTTGGGGCGTCAACAGGCGCTCTGGAAACAGCAGCTTCTCTGATCACATGACCGCTTTATCAGGAAAACTAAACCGTGTCACATTTAGCTGGTCCTAATAAACCGGCGAGCTTCTGCTCTCTGAGCTAACACAGCCTGAAAGCGCTAACGCTGATTTGTTATCTCCAGATGGCCCTGAAGCTAAAAACTGAATTTAAACACGGTGGAGTCGCGTGATGACAGAAGGATGATTGTTTTTACTGCTGCTCAGACACAGCACTGAACGTGTAAGAGGATTCCTGATCAATAACCAATAAATCCTCAAATCAGCTGCAGTAAAAAGCTCCAGAGCTCTGTCTGAGCGTGCTCTGTCTGAGGGAGCTCAGCTCAGCCTGGGCTCCTCTCACGTTAGAGCTCAACAACAAAAACCGGAGAAACGCTGGAGCCGACTGAGCGCGCTCAGACGGCGTCCTGCTCGGTCACAGCCGATGATAGGCTCACGGTAAACTGTGAGTGTGCGCTCTCAGTGACTACTGATTTTTTCTGTTTACTTCTCAGTGAACAGGATGCTTCCTCGTTTCTTATCGTTTTATTCTCACGTGTTTATTTATTTCCCCCCGTGTTTGCTGTCCTGATGTCTGATTGGCTCTTTCAGATTTTATCATGATGTAAATAAAACACGTTAACAAAATGTTTGACACTTTTTTAAAAGCACATAAGTTTTCAGTTTAAGTTTTACTGTAACGCACAAAATATAAAAGGTTGGATTTGAGTGAATCTGATTTCTAATCTGATCAGCACAAACATTTCTACACACTTTATCTTCTAAACAGCAACTTTAAGTCACGGTTGAGATTTTTCTCATGTTTTATGTTTGTGTTGTGTTAAAACTAAAACAGTGAGAACACAAACACGTTCAGCTGTTTCCACCTAAAGCCTCAAACTGTCTGCTGTTCTGTTTTGCTCGACCTTGACCTTTGACCTGCCGTGTGTCCCGCTCACAGCCACAGCTAACATGTCATTACTGTGGAGGCTCCTTAGAATGAGTGAAGAAGTAAACCGCAGAGCCACAACAACACAACAACAGCCCTCATCAGACCCTCAGAGCGCCACATGGCTCCACGCCGTCGCCCTGCAGAGGCTCACAGAGGCGGGGAGGCTGACCCGCAGCCTCGGTATGAGCAACGGACGCAAGCAGTTAGTCAGCTACTCATGAACATGCAGGTAAAGGTGTGCACAGCTCACTACCTGCACCTGCTTACAGGCACAAGGTCTTCTCGCTGTGCAGTGTCACAGGAATCCTATTTATCATAAACCACAGGGTCAAACCCTGAACACAGACCTGCTGATGGGACAGACGGAGCCAAGAAACCCGAGTTTACTGCAGTAAAGACGGATTTCACTGCCGCAGAGTCTGAGCGGCAGTGAAAGCACATCAGTTGTACATTTGTGTACTTTTGTTTGAATATTTGTCAAACTTCTCTGAGCTGAATGTAAAAACGTATTAACCACAGAAGAAGAAGGAAGGGGTCCGGTTTCCCCTCCGAGGTGTGTGACTGAACCTCTCTCTGAGGCTCGATGGGTCTGTAACATTGCGTCATCGTTTCTGGGCCGATGCAGTCTGATCGATCAGCAGCTGTGGTCGATAACGAGTGTATTGATCAGTACTCACCTTCCTCCGCCCTGCAGGAGCCCAGCAGCACCGCCAGCAGCGGGAGGAGCAGCAGCCCGCGGCAGGAGGAGGCCCGGCCGTGGGCCACGGGGCCCCGCTGAGCCCCCATTACTCCGTCCCGGTCGCACCTATCGATCACCGATCACTGACGTCAGCTGGGCTCGGTCTCCGCCGGCCGCGCGCGCCTCATTGGAGCCGAAAAGTTCGAGAAAAAGAAAAAAGTCCTCAAAGTGTCCAAGATGGAGGCCGGAGGGAGTCACGGCACCGGCTCCTTCAGCCGCTCCGAGCTCTCAGCCTGCTCTCTGCTCCCACCCGGCTCCCCCTCATTCCTCCATCCCCTCCTCCTCTCTCCTCCAGCGTAGAGCAGCGGGGCGCGGCTGCCTGCGAGGCCGTCTGAGGAGCAGCGAGAGGCGGCTTGGAGAGCGCGCAGGGGTCGGTGGGACAGCTGGAGGTGGGGGTCCCGAACCACAGACACACTCACTCACACACACAGCCGCAGTTACAGTCACACACAGCGCGGACACACACTCTCGGAGCTCGCACCAGCGCTCCCAGTGCTTCCAGTCTGCGGCTCCAGCTCACACGCGTACAAAAAGTTGAGAACAAAAGCTGCTCCAACTTTCTGCCTCCACCTCTGGATGAGACCACGCCCACACACCCGCAGCCGCAGTGTGAGTGGCTGAAGGAGCCTGCCATTCCAAAGGGGGCGGGGCTCAGCGAAGACAGTCTGTGAAGGAATGTGGAGAGAACGTGTCTGCGCATGTCTGTTTTTGAAACCTGGAGACCAAATCGACCAAAAACTTCAAATTCCTTAAAAAAGCAGGGACGGATCTATACGCGCGGCAATGTGCCCGATTTGTGGCGAAGTGTGTAGTTAGTGTGTTGTGTTGTTTTGTGTAGTTTGTTGTGTAGTCACTGTATTGTTTCGTATGACAATGAGAGTAATAATGAATGTCACAAAGCAGTGTAAACTGTCTCCAGGTCGAAATCCAGACTGTTGTCAAGGTTTATCCCCGTGGTGTTCTCCTGCGTCCTGTTTTTACCGGCACACATAATTTGTGGGCATCTTATCGTGACACCTGATTGTTTTGGTTTAGTTTTAGTAGTATTTTAAATGGTTGTACAACAAACGGAAGATGCATTGGCTGCATGTTTAGATAAATAGCTGTTTATAAGCTTATTTTTTACCAAAATGTGTGCAGAAAATAATTTACTAAACATGTGGTTTTTACAAAACATATAACTGATAGTAGGATTTTATGTTTTTGTGTGATTTCAGATCAGTTGTGTTACTACAGAATGTCAATAAAAAAAACAACTGAAAATTCAGACACGTGAGTTTGAGCCGGAAAGAATGATCCCAAGCAAGGCAGCGGAGAAAGGATAAAATACTAATGGAAAATCAAAGCGAGTCAAAATGGCCAATTATATTCTGGACCTCAGAGGGTTCATCCAACAAATCCTGACAAATTTGGCTTCAGATTTTGTTCATGACATCTTTTGTTTTCAAACAAAAAAAGGTGAAACTTAAGTGAGACTTGTGTTTGTAATGAACCGCCCCATGGCTACATGTTTATTTATTATACAGGCGACACAGTAAATACAATGAAAACTCACATGTTTAATTTAACTGAGATGTTCATTCATGTGAGCTGAGAAAATAGACTGTATTTATATCAAACGTGTAAACCTACTGCACTTGACTCATTTTAGACACATGTACCTGCACGTGTGTTTTTTAAAAGCTTTCATTTTGCCACCCTATTTGATTTTCATGCCACCCTAAGAAAATTTCTCTAGTTCAGCTCCTGAAAAATTAAAGAAATTAAATAAAATATGAACAAAATGATCAAACCAGCTTTAATAAAAGTCTAAACAAATCATATTTTCTGTGTTTTAATCTGTCTGTTGTCTTTCTAATCAGGGCTGAATCATCAGTTATAAAAAAAGCTGATGAACACACATGGTACTGACACATATCTGCATCACTGTGCTGCGCTTTATTACTTTATTACACATTTATTATACATTTATTACACATTTATTACACTTTGTCTTATTTATTTATTCCTGTTGGTTCTAATCAGTGGTCAGTACTTTTGACAGTGGGAAAAAGTCACATTTCAGCTTGACGAGAAGTCCTGTGTGTGTGTGTGTGTGCGTGTGTGTGTGTCTGTGTGCGTGCGTGTGTGTGCGTGGTGTGTGTGTGTGTGTGTGTGTGCGTCGTGTGTGTCTGTGTGTGTGTGTGTGTGTGTGTGTGTGTGTGGTGTGTCTGTCTGTGTGTGTGCGTTGTGTGTCTGTGTGTGTGTGTGTGTGTGTGTCTGTGTGTGTGTGTGTGTGTGTGTGTGTGTGTGTGTGTGTGTGTGTGGTGTGTGCTGTGATTGTGTGTCTGTGTGTGTGTGTGTGTCTGTGTGTGTGTGTGTGTGTGTGGTGTGTCTGTTTGTCTGTGTGTGTGTGTGGTGTGTGTGTGTGTGTGTGGAGTGTGAGAGAGAGAGAGAGAGAGAGAGAGAGAGAGAGAGAGAGACTGTGCTGATGTTGTTTCTGGTTCGTTTTCTCCACATTAAAGATAAAACAGCAGAAACTGAAGCAGGGTTCCTCTCTCTCTCTCTCTGTGGGTGTTTGTTATGTAAATGTCTCTCGTCCTGTCTGACAAACTAAATCCACACCTGAGGGGGAGGACACTCCTCAGCAGCCATGCTTTCACTCTCAGGTAGTTTCTGACCTCCTGCAGAAACAGTCACACCTGCAGTGACTCCCCAAACATGGAGGGAAGGAGCTGCACTGCCTCCACAGCATTCTTCAGCTGAGGAGACACTGGAGCCTCCTTTAGGGAAGGACAGGAGATAAATCTATCCCATAATCCTCAGCGGCACGGCCTCGGATTGTTCATGAAAACGAACATCAGCACGACTGTTGAAGAGTTTCCAGCAGTTTGTTGTGAGGAGGAGGTGAAGTGTTTTCTGGATGTTTGGAGTTAAACTGGTCAGACTGGTGAGGATCCAGGTTTCCGTTTTAACTGTCACGTTAAAGGGGGCGGGGTTACAGTCAGGCTGAAGTTTCTCACCTGCAGCTCCATGAAGACAGGTGAGAGCGGGCGAGAGACATTCAGTCCCGACAGAGAGAGAGAGATGAAAGGAGGCCGAGAGCTCCTCTTTCTCCCAGTCTGAGGACAAAAGACAGAGTCAGGTGTCCTCCTCCTCCTCCTCCTCCTGCTGCTGCTCTTTGTTTCTGCTCTTTGTCGGCAGAGGTGTGAACGGCCCGGAGAACAAAGCAAGGAGAGGAGGAGGAGGAGGAGGAGGAAGGATGGAGAGGACAGGAGGCCTGTGGGAAACTGTCACCTGACTGACGAGCGGACACGTTTGACAGACAGGTGAGAGTCCCGCCCCCCAGTGATGTCACAACAGCGGAGGAAGACACGACGATTCAAAATGCAGAAATAAAAATAATCATTCAATTAAATTAAATTGAAAAGGTGAAAAACAAAATAAAATGAATTTAAAATGACAAAAAAATATAGCAAGAGAGTCGAAATTAAAAAGAATTCCTAAAATAAAAAAAAGTCAGATAAATCGGAAAAATCAAGAATTTAAAAGTTTAAAACCTAAAACTTAATATTATCAGAAGTGAAAAGAAATAAAATCAGAACTGCAGAAAAATGAAACAGAGAAATTTTTAAAATAGCTAAAAATGATTGAAACAAATAAGATAAATAAAAATAAGGGATTAGTAAATAACAACGAAAAGACAGAAAAACTATTATGAAAAAGACCAAATATTATTTATATTTTATTTTTAATTAGTGGAAAAAATATTAAAAAGGTTAAAAAATATAAAAATCATAAAAAAAATTTATTTAAAAAAAGAAATGAAACTATTAAACTGCACACAAATAAAAAACAAAAACAAAATTTAAATAGAGGTATAAAATATGTACTTATAAAAAACCATAATGGGAAACACAAAATGCAGAAATAAAGTAAAAATAAAGAATAAATAAATACTAACTGAGAAAAGGGATTTTTTTTAATTAAAAGAACAAAAACAAAAATAAGAAAATGATTTAAAAAAAAAAATCATAAAAAAATAGGAAACATTTAAAATATTATAAGATTAAACCCCACCTGGAAATAAAAACAAACAAATAAAGTAAAAAGAAAAGATCTAATAAAACTTTTGCTAAGCAGAAACTGTAACGACCTCAACACCGGCGTGAGCAGCACGAGTCCGTCAGAGCCTGAGATGGTCTGAGCGCGTGCAGAGGAGGGATGGGGGGGTGGAGGATGAAGGTGGAGCTGCAAGCAGGGGAAACACAGGAAGAGCTCAGATTCATGGGTGAAGGAGGGTCGCTGAGACGGAGAACATCCACTTTCTTATTCCTTAATAAAGAGTCCAGGTGAAAAAGTGGACTTCACGCCTCCCCTCTCTCACTCAGTAACAGTGAGTGTCGGTCGTCCCATGTGACCTGGCAGTGGAAACGTCCCTCCAGCCTTTGGTCTCCTCTCGCAGCAGATCAGCC